CCTCCTGCTCCTCCTCAGCAGTCTGTTCAGGGCTACACGGCTGGTGGTGGTGGTGCTGGTGGTGCTGGTGGTGGTGTTGGTGGTGTTGGTGGTGGTGGTGTTGGTGGTGGTGGTGCTGGTGGTGGTGGTGGTGCTGGTGGTGGTGGTGGTGCTGGTGGTGGTGGTGGTGGTGCTGGTGGTGGTGGTGCTGGTGGTGGTGCTGGTGGTGGTGCTGGTGGTGGTGCTGGTGGTGGTGATGCTGGTGGTGGTGGTGCTGGTGGTGTTGGTGGTGGTGGGCTTTGACTTTGTAGACTTGGTGTGTGTTCGCTCGCGCCGCGCCTGGCACGCCCCTCCTGCCCCGTGCGGTTTTTAGTTTGAAGTCTCCTCTCTCTGTGTCTCTGTGTCTCTCTGTCTCTCTGTGTCTCTGTGCGTCTCGTTTATCTCCGTTCAATAGAGGACTGTAGTGGTGGTAGTGGTGTTGGTGGTAGTGGCGGTGGTGGTGGTGGCGGTGGTGGTGGTAGTGGTGGTGGTAGTGGTGGTGGTGGAGGTGGTGGTAGTGGCGGTGGTGATGGTTGTGGGGGTGATGGTAGTGGTAGTGGCGGTGGTAGTCGTGGTGGTAGTTGGTAGCGGTGGTGGTGGAGGTGGTGGCAGGGCTGTAGGGGCAAGTGCTGCTAGTGGCGAGTAGCAGCACCACCTATGATGTACACAGAGACAAAGCTCCCCCAGGTAGCCTCTAGCAGGGCTGTAGGGGCAAGTGCTGTGTTAGACATAGACGAAGCTCACCCAGGTAGCCTCTAACAGGGCTGTAGGAGCAAGTGCTGTGTTAGCGAGTAGCACCACCTATGATGTACACAAAGCTCCCCCAGGTAGCCCCTAGCAGGGCTGTAGGGGCAAGTGCTGTTAGACACAGACAAAGCTCCCCCAGGTAGCCTCTAGCAGGGCTGTAGGGGCAAGTGCTGCACCTATGAAGGCTACCGGCACTGTGGCTACACACACAGAGGGGGTGGGTGGCCAGCACCACCACGCCCGGCCGCCTTTGTCTCTCCCCCAGTGCTAGCGACGTTCACTACACCACTGCTACAGCAGCTACTCTCATTTGAGGCTGAGTCGACCTAGGGGTGGGGGGGAGATCGGTGTGGGTGGGTGGGGCTGAGGTACTGGTGCAGATAATGGCCCCTCTGACCCCCTCGGACCCCCTCTGACCCCCTCCCTGACCCCCCCCCTCTCTGACCCCCCTCCCCCCCACGTCGCAGCGATTTCGAGGTTGCTACAGAATTCGCTTTTCGTTTCCATTCGCCGCTCCCCGCCTCTCTCGCGAGCCAAGCTGCTACAGCAGCAGCGGCAGGAGAGAGAGAATCTCTCAAAAGGCGTTCCATTGGTTCAATTGTAATTGGTTTAATTATGATAATTGGTTCAATTATAATTGGTTTAATTATAATAATTGGTTCAATAATAATTGGTTCAATAATAATTGGTTCAATTATAATTGGTTTAATTATAATAATTGGTTCAATTATAATAATTGGTTCAATTATAATAATTGGTTCAATTATAATAATTGGTTTAATTATAATAATTGGTTAAATTATAATAATTGGTTAAATTATAATAATTGGTTAAATTATAATAATTGGTTAAATTATAATAATTGGTTAAATTATAATAATTGGTTCAATTATAATAATTGGTTCAATTATAATAATTGGTTCAATTATAATAATTGGTTCAATTATAATAATTGGTTCAATTATAATAATTGGTTCAATTATAATAATTGGTTCAATTATAATAATTGGTTCAATTATAATAATTGGTTCAATTATAATAATTGGTTCAATTATAATAATTGGTTCAATTATAATAATTGGTTCAATTATAATAATTGGTTCAATTATAATAATTGGTTCAATTATAATAATTGGTTCAATTTTTTTTTGCTTGTGACACCAATCCCACAAGGAGGCTTGCGTGTCCAGGCTTGAACCGTCGGTTCAAGCCCTGAACCCTCTTCAGCAGCGCAGAACCTGGACCCTGATGCTGATGATGCTGCTGAGCCACCGGATGTCTGAACCGGGCCCCAGTGAGTCGGTTCAAGCATCAACCTGAACCCTCATCAACCTGAACCCTCATCAACCTGAACCCTCATCAACCTGAACCCTCATCAGCAGCGCAGAACCTGAACTCTGCTGCTGCTGGTGAGCCACCGGGTGTCTGAACCGGGCCCCAGATTTGTTGGTGGTTCAAGCATCAGCCTGAACCCTCATCAGCAGCTCAGAACCTGAACTCTGCTGCTGCTGCTGAGCCACCGGGTGTCTGAACCGGGCCCCAGGGAGTCGGTTCAAGCATCAACCTGAACCCTCACCAGCAGCTCAGAACCTGAACTCTGCTGCTGCTGAGCCCCCGGGATGTCTGAACCGGGCCCCAGATTTGTTGGTGGTTCAAGCGTCAACCTGAACCTTCATCAGCAGCTCAGAACCTGAACTCTGCTGCTGCTGCTGCTGAGCCCCCCGGGTGTCTGAACCGGGCCCCAAACCGCCGGGCGATCAGAAACCGCCCGGTTCAAGCGTGAGCCTGAACTGTCGTCGGCAGCGCCGGCTGGAATCCACCGCTGATGGGATGCGCACAAAGTGACGAAGACCCAGCGTTGGGGTTTTTCCGGTGGAGAGAGAGAGAGCGAGAGGGAGAGAGACGTTTTGTAGAGCGGGATGTCTCTGTTGTTGTTTTACCACGCCGCCCAGTTTGGATGTTTTAGTTTGTGGCCTGCTGCTCCGCACCGAGTTTGGTGTTCATCAGCTGTCAGCTGTCCCTGTGCCCCCCCTTGCCTCTCCACTTTTTTTTTATAATAAAACGGGTTCAGTCAGGACGGCGCGTCGTGTGTGTGTGTCGGGGTGTTTGTGCTGTGACTCGCGAAGGGAGACCCGCAGATTCACCACTACACAGACCCAGACTCACCACTACACAGACACCCACAGACTCACCACTACACACAGAGACCCACAGACTCACCACTACACAGAGACCCAAAGACTCACCACTACACACAGAGACCCACAGACTCACCACTACACAGACCCATAGACTCGCCACTACACAGACACCTATAGACTTACCACACACACACAGAGACCCACAGACTCACCACCACACAGAGACCCACAGATTCACCACTGCACACAGACTCACCACTACAAAGAGACCCATAGACTCACCACTACACACAGACCCACAAACTCACCACTACACAGACTCACCACTACACAGACTCACTACTACACAGAGACCCACAGACTCACTACTACACAGAGACCCACAGACTCACCATCACACAGAGATCCACAGACTCACCACCACAGAGACGACACAGACTCATCACCACACAGAGACCCATAGACTCACCACCACACAGAGACCCATAGACTCACCACCACACAGAGACCCATAGACTCACCACCACACAGAGACCCATAGACTCACCACCACACAGAGACCCATAGACTCACCACCACACAGAGACCCATAACCTCACCACCACACAGAGACCCAGACTCACCACACAGACCCATAGACTCACCACCACACAGAAACCCATAGACTCATCACCACACAGCGACCCACAGACTCATCACGCAGAGACCCACAGACTCACCACCACACAGAGACCCATAGACTCACCACCACACAGAGACCCATAGAATCACCGCATTTTATGCAATCAGCATACAAGTGCATTATTTACACCACCAAATCTCTTAACACGCAATCACCGTCAACGATTTAAAAAACAAATTGTATATCATTGTGCAGTGTCCCTCCCTTCTGCTGCTGTGTCCTGTCCGGTACGCTTGAGCAAAGCCACTGCCATGAATGTGGTGATTCTGACTTAATAATCACACGAGCAGGTAGAACAGCAAGGGACAGGGGACCTACATTCAAGCACGCAAGTGGCGTGTCCCCAGACGCTGCGCGTCCATTCCACATCCCTGTGGCAGGGGCTGTGTCCTGATGTGAGTGGGTGGGTGGGTGATTGAGTAGGTGTGTAGGTGGGTGAGTAGGCTGGTGAGTGAGTAGGTGAGTGGGCGAGTGAGTAGGTGGGTGGGCGAGTGAGTAGGTGCGTGGGTGAGTGTGTAGGTGAGTAGGCGGGTGAGTGTGTAGGTGAGTGGGTGAGTGAGTAGGTGGGTGAGTGTGTAGGTGAGTGAGTAGGTGAGTGAGTGAGTTGGTGAGTAGGTGTGTGTAGGTGAGTGAGTAGGTCAGTGAGTTGGTGAGTGTGTAGGTGAGTAGGTAAGTAGGTGAGTGAGTTGGTGAGGGTGTAGGTGAGTAGGTGGGTGAGTGTGTAGGTGAGTAGATGGGTGAGTGTGTAGGTGAGTGGGTGAGTGTGTAGGTGAGTGGGTGAGTGTGTAGGTGAGTGGGTGAGTGTGTAGGTGAGTGGGTGAGTGTGTAGGTGAGTGGGTGTGTGTGTAGGTGAGTGGGTGGGTGTGTAGGTGAGTGTGTAGGTGAGTGGGTGAGTGTGTAGGTGAGTGGGTGAGTGTGTAGGTGAGTGGGTGAGTGTGTAGGTGAGTGGGTGAGTGTGTAGGTGAGTAGGTGAGTGGGTGAGTGTGTAGGTGAGTGGGTGAGTGTGTAGGTGAGTGGGTGAGTGTGTAGGTGTGTGGGTGAGTGTGTAGGTGAGTGGGTGAGTGTAGGTGAGTGTGTAGGTGAGTGGGTGAGTGTGTAGGTGAGTGTGTGGGTGAGTGTGTGGGTGAGTGTGTGTGAGTGAGTAGGTGGGTGGGTGAGTAGGCGGGTGAGTGTGTGTAGGTGAGTGAGTAGGCGGGTGAGTGTGTAGGTGAGTGTGTAGGTGAGTGGGTGAGTGTGTGGGTGAGTGGGTGAGTGTGTGGGTGAGTGGGTGAGTGTGTAGGTGAGTGGGTGAGTGTGTGGGTGAGTGTGTGGGTGAGTGAGTGGGTGAGTGGGTGAGTGTGTGGGTGAGTGTGTAGGTGAGTGGTTGAGTGTGTAGGTGAGTGGGTGAGTGTGTAGGTGAGTGTGTAGGTGAGTGGGTGAGTGTAGGTGAGTGGGTGAGTGTGTAGGTTTGTGTGTAGGTGAGTGTGTAGGTGAGTGTGTAGGTGAGTGTGTAGGTGAGTGGGTGAGTGCACAAACTAAGCAGCATCGTATATGGCCGGGAATGAATGAGGCCCTCTAAACCCCCCCAGCTGCTAGACCCCCCCCCGAGCCAGCAGTCCGTGGAGTATCACTGCAGAGGAGACGCAGCCCAGGGCCCCCAGGGCCCAGTGGGGGAGCCGGCCGCTCCACAGGGGGCCGGCCACACCCGGGGGACCCAGCCAGTGCACGGCGCTCGCCAGGTCGGCCGCACCGGCCACCACGCGGATCCACTCAGCCTGAGCACGGCCACGCAGAGCCAGCACGTGGCTGGTGGTGGGGGGAGGAGTCAGGGGAAAGAGTTGGGAGGGGGAGGAGTCACGGGTTGGGGGCGGGGATCACACGGAGAGGGAGGAGTCAGTTGGGGGGGTGGGGTCACATGGAGAGGGAGGAGTCAGTTGGAGGGGGTGGGGTCACATGGAGAGGGAGGAGACAGTTGGGGGGGGTGGGGTCACATGGAGAGGGAGGAGACAGTTGGAGGGGGTGGGGTCACATGGAGAGGGAGGAGACAGTTGGGGGGGGGGGGGTCACATGGAGAGGGAGGAGTCAGTTGGAGGGGGTGGGGTCACATGGAGAGGGAGGAGACAGTTGGAGGGGATGGGGTCACATGGAGAGGGAGGAGACAGTTGGGGGGGGTGGGGTCACATGGAGAGGGAGGAGTCAGTTGGAGGGGGTCAGCAGAGGGAATTGGTGGGGGGGGGGATCACAGAGGGGGAGGAGTCAGGGGAAAGAGTTGGAGGGGGAGGAGTCACGGGTGGGGCGGGGATCACACGGAGAGGGAGGAGTCAGTTGGGGGGGGGGTGGGGTCACATGGAGAGGGAATTGGGGGGGGGGTCACAGAGGGGGAGGAGTCAGGGGAAAAAGTTGGAGGGGGAGGAGTCACGGGGGAGAGGAGTGGGGGGAATCACATGGAGAAGGAGCAGTCAGTAGGGGGGGTCACATGGAGAGGGAGGAGTCAGCAGAGAGGGAATTGGGGGGGGGTCACAAAGGGGGAGGAGTCAGGGGAAAGTTGGAAGGGGAGGAGTCACGGGGGGAGGAGTGGGGGGGATCACATTGAGAGGGAGGAGTCAGTAGGGGGGGGGGTCACAGGGGGAGGAGTTAGGGGAAAGAGTTGGAGGGGGAGGAGTCAGGAGGGGGGAGTGTGTAGGTGAGTGAGTAGGTGAGTGTGTAGGTGAGTGAGTAGGTGAGTGAGTAGGTGAGTGAGTAGGTCAGTAAGTTGGTGAGTGAGTTGGTGAGTGTGTAGGTAAGTAGGTGAGTGAGTTGGTGAGGGTGTAGGTGAGTGAGTTGGTGAGTAGGTGAGTAGGTGAGTGAGTTGGTGAGTAGGTGAGTGAGTTGGTGAGTAGGTGAGTGAGTTGGTGAGTGAGTAGGTGAGTGTGTAGGTGAGTAGGTGAGTGAGTTGGTGAGTGAGTTGGTGAGTGTGTAGGTGAGTGAGTTGGTGAGGGTGTAGGTGAGTGAGTTGGTGAGTAGGTGAGTGAGTTGGTGAGTGTGTAGGTGAGTAGGTGAGTGAGTAGGTGAGTGAGTTGGTGAGTGAGTTGGTGAGTGTGTAGGTGAGTAGGTGAGTGAGTTGGTGAGGGTGTAGGTGAGTAGGTGAGTGAGTTGGTGAGTGAGTAGGTGAGTGAGTTGGTGAGTGTGCAGGTGTGTAGGTGAGTAGGTGAGTGAGTTGGTGAGTGAGTTGGTGAGGGTGGTCACCTCTCTGGGTCTCCGTCTCTCTCCATCTCTCGCCGCTCACGAGACAACAGAACCAACTTACGAGCTGATCTGGAGACACGCGGACAGAGACACAGACACAGAGACACACAGACACAGAGACACACAGAGACACAGATACACAGAAACACAGAGACACGGGGACAAAGAGACACACAAAGAGACACAGAAACACAGACACGGGGACACAGACACACAGAGACACACACAGAGACACAGACACACAGAGACACGGGGACACAGACACACAGAGAGACACAGATACACAGAGACACACAGACAGAGACACACAGACACAGAGACAGAGACACACAGATACATGGAGACAGAGACACAGATATACACACACAGACACACACAGACACACATAGACACACAGAGACACACAGACAGAGACACACAGAGACACACACAGAGACACACAGAGACACACACACAGAGAGACAGAGACAGAGACACACACAGAGACACACAGAGACACACACACAGAGACACAGAGACAGAGACACACAGAGACACACAGAGACACAGAGACACACAGACACACACAGAGACACACAGAGACACACACACAGAGAGACAGAGACACACACACACAGAGACAGAGACACAGAGACATACATAGACACACAGAGACATAGACACACACAGAGAGACAGAGACACACAGAGAGACACACAGAGACACACAGAGAGACAGAGACACACAGATAGACAGAGACACACAGAGACACACAGAGACACACAGAGACACACACAGAGACACACAGAGACACACAGAGACACACAGAGACATAGACAGAGACACACAGAGACATAGACAGAGACACACAGAGACACACAGAGACACACACAGAGACACACAGAGACACGGAGACAGAGACACACAGAGACACACAGAGAGACAGAGACACACAGAGACACACAGAGACACACAGAGAGACAGAGACACACAGACACACACAGAGACACACAGAGACAAGGGTGTTAGGCCACAGTTCTTGGCAGTGTTAACGTCACCAGCCACGCTCTATCAACTGCTGGACGGGTGATGTTACTGTGGTGGTGACGGTGAAGATGGTTGTGGTGATGACCGCGGTTGTGGTGATGGTTATTGTGCTGATGGTGATTGTGGTGGTGATGATTCCATGAGTGTGACATACAGGCTCGATCCACTGCTGTCTGAGTCTCCCACAACACCACCCCCACCCACCACCAACACCACCACCACCATCACCACCACCACCACCACCACCCCCACCACCACCACCACCACCACCCCCACCACCATCACCACCACCACCATCACCACCACCATCACCACCACCACCACCACTACCACCCTCACCACCACCATCACCACCACCACAACCACCCCCACCACCACCTCCACCACCACCACCGCAACCACCACCACCACCCCCCCACCACCACCACCACCACCCCCCCACCACCACTACCACCACCCCCCCACTCCCCCCACCTCACCGCGCCAGATCCAGCGCCAGGCCTATAGCCCAGACGGCAGCGCTGAGCCCCCAGAGTCTCTGCGCGAGGCTCTGGGGGAGAAGTAGGCCAAGGTCGGCCGCCCACGCGCCCGTCTCCATGGGGACGAACAGGCAGTCCACGCAGTGGGACAGCACAGACAGCGCGCGGACAAGCGTGTCTTCGTGCTGCGAGGGGGAGACACGGGGAGAGAGACACGGGGAGAGAAAGACACGGGGAGAGAGAGACACGGGGAGAGAGACACGGGGAGAGAGAGACACGGGGAGAGAGAGACACGGGGAGAGACACGGGGAGAGAGAGACACGGGGAGAGAGACACGGGGAGAGAGAGACACGGGGAGAGAGAGACACGGGGAGAGAGAGACACGGGGAGAGAGACACGGGGAGAGAGAGACACGGGGAGAGAGAGACACGGGGAGAGAGACACGGGGAGAGAGAGACACGGGGAGAGAGAGACACGGGGAGAGAGAGACACGGGGGGAGAGAGACACGGGGAGAGAGAGACACGGGGAGAGAGAGACACGGGGAGAGAGAGACACGGGGGGAGAGAGACACGGGGAGAGAGAGACACGGGGAGAGAGAGACACGGGGGGAGAGAGACACGGGGAGAGAGAGACACGGGGAGAGAGAGACACGGGGGGAGAGAGACACGGGGAGAGAGAGACACGGGGAGAGACACGGGGAGAGAGACACGGGGAGAGAGAGACACGGGGAGAGAGAGAGACACGGGGAGAGAGAGACACGGGGAGAGAGAGACACGGGGAGAGAGAGACACGGGGAGAGAGAGACACGGGGAGAGAGAGACACGGGGAGAGAGAGACACGGGGAGAGAGAGACACGGGGAGAGAGAGACACGGGGGGAGAGAGACACGGGGAGAGAGAGACACGGGGGGAGAGAGACACGGGGAGAGAGAGACACGGGGAGAGAGAGACACGGGGGGAGAGAGACACGGGGAAAGAGAGACACGGGGAGAGAGAGACACGGGGGGAGAGAGACACGGGGAGAGAGAGACACGGGGAGAGAGAGACACGGGGAGAGAGAGACACGGGGGGAGAGAGACACGGGGAGAGAGAGACACGGGGGGAGAGAGACACGGGGAGAGAGAGACACGGGGAGAGAGAGACACGGGGAGGGAGAGACACGGGGAGAGAGAGACACGGGGAGAGAGAGACACGGGGGGAGAGAGACACGGGGGGAGAGACACGGGGAGAGAGAGACACGGGGGGAGAGAGACACGGGGGGAGAGAGACACGGGGGGAGAGACACGGGGGGAGAGACACGGGGAGAGAGAGACACGGGGGGAGAGACACGGGGGGAGAGAGACACGGGGGGAGAGACACGGGGAGAGAGAGACACGAGGGGAGAGACACGGGGGGAGAGACACGGGGAGAGAGAGACACGGGGGGAGAGAGACACGGGGGGAGAGAGACACGGGGGGAGAGAGACACGGGGGGAGAGAGACACGGGGGGAGAGAGACACGGGGGGAGAGAGACACGGGGGGAGAGAGACACGGGGGGAGAGAGACACGGGGGGAGAGAGACACGGGGGGAGAGAGACACGGGGGGAGAGAGACACGGGGGGAGAGAGACACGGGGGGAGAGAGACACGGGGGGAGAGAGACACGGGGGGAGAGAGACACGGGGGGAGAGAGACACGGGGGGAGAGAGACACGGGGGGAGAGAGACACGGGGGGAGAGAGACACGGGGGGAGAGAGACACGGGGGGAGAGAGACACGGGGGGAGAGAGACACGGGGGGAGAGAGACACGGGGAGAGAGAGACACGGGGAGAGGTGTACACACAGCTGGTGAGCTAGACAGCTGGTGAGCTAGACAGCTGGTGAGCTAGACAGCTGGTGAGCTAGACAGCTGGTGAGCTAGACAGCTGGTGAGGTGTACAGACAGCTGGTGAGGTAGACAGCTGGTGAGCTAGACAGCTGGTGAGCTAGACAGCTGGTAGCTAGACAGCTGGTGAGCTAGACAGCTGGTGAGCTAGACAGCTGGTGAGCTAGACAGCTGGTGAGCTAGACAGCTGGTGAGCTAGACAGCTGGTGAGCTAGACAGCTGGTGAGCTAGACAGCTGGTGAGCTAGACAGCTGGTGAGCTAGACAGCTGGTGAGCTAGACAGCTGGTGAGCTAGACAGCTGGTGAGCTAGACAGCTGGTGAGCTAGACAGCTGGTGAGCTAGACAGCTGGTGAGCTAGACAGCTGGTGAGCTAGACAGCTGGTGAGCTAGACAGCTGGTGAGCTAGACAGCTGGTGAGCTAGACAGCTGGTGAGCTAGACAGCTGGTGAGCTAGACAGCTGGTGAGCTAGACAGCTGGTGAGCTAGACAGCTGGTGAGCTAGACAGCTGGTGAGCTAGACAGCTGGTGAACTAGACAGCTGGTGAGGTGTACAGACAGCTGGTGAGGTAGACAGCTGGTGAGGTGTACAGCTGGTGAGCTAGACAACTGGTGAGCTAGACAGCTGGTGAGGTAGACAGCTGATGAGGTAGACAGCTGGTGAGGTGTACAGCTGGTGAGCTAGACAGCTGGTGAGCTAGACAGCTGGTGAGGTAGACAGCTGGTGAGGTAGACAGCTGGTGAGCTAGACAGCTGGTGAGCTAGACAGCTGGTGAGCTAGACAGCTGGTGAGCTAGACAGCTGGTGAGGTAGGCAGCTGGTGAGGTAGACAGCTGGTGAGGTGTACAGCTGGTGAGCTAGACAGCTGGTGAGCTAGACAGCTGGTGAGGTGTACAGCTGGTGAGGTGTACAGCTGGTGAGCTAGACAGCTGGTGAGGTAGACACACAGCTGGTGAGGTAGACACACAGCTGGTGAGGTGTACAGACAGCTGGTGAGCTAGACAGCTGGTGAGCTAGACAGCTGGTGAGCTAGACAACTGGTGAGGTAGACACACAGCTGGTGAGGTAGACAGCTGGTGAGCTAGACAGCTGGTGAGGTAGACAGCTGGTGAGGTGTACAGACAGCTGGTTGAGCTAGGACAGGCTGGTGAGGTAGACAAGCTGGTGAGCTAGACAGCTGGGTGAGGTGTACAGCTGGTGAGCTAGGAAAGCTGGTGAGGTGTACAGCTGGTGAGGTAGACAAGCTGGTGGGAGGTAGACAGCTGGTGAGCTAGATCAGCTGGTGAGCTAGACAGCTGGTGAGCATTAGACAGGCTGGTGAGGTTGTACAGCTGGTGAGCTAGACAGCTGGTCGAGGTGTACAGCTGGTGAGCTAGACAGCTGGTGAGGTTGTACAGACAGCTTGGTTGAGGTGTACACTGGTGAGGTTGTGTACAGCTGGTGAGCTAGACAGCTGGTGAGGTTGTACAGACAGCTGGTGAGGTGTACAGACAGCTGGTGAGCTAGGACAGCTGGTGAGCTAGACATGCTGGTGAGGTAGACATCCTGGTGAGGTAGACAGAGCTGGTGAGCTAGACAGCTGGTGAGCTAGACAGCTGGTGAGCTAGACAGCTGGTGATGTAGGACAGCTGGTGAGCTAGACAGCTGGTGAGCTAGACAGCTGGTGAGGTAGACAGCTGGTGAGGTAGACACACAGCTGGTGAGGAAGACAGCTGGTGAGGTAGACAGCTGGTGAGGTAGACAGCTGGTGAGGTAGACAGCTGGTGAGGTAGACACAGCTGGTGAGCTAGACACAGCTGGTGAGCTAGACACAGCTGGTGAGCTAGACACAGCTGGTGAGCTAGACACAGCTGGTGAGCTAGACACAGCTGGTGAGCTAGACACAGCTGGTGAGCTAGACACAGCTGGTGAGCTAGACAGCTGGTGAGCTAGACAGCTGGTGAGCTAGACAGCTGGTGAGGTGTACAGACAGCTGGTGAGGTAGACAGCTGGTGAGGTGTACAGACAGCTGGTGAGGTGTACAGACAGCTGGTGAGGTGTACACACAGCTGGTGAGGTATACACACAGCTGGTGAGGTGTACACACAGCTGATGAGCTAGACAGCTGGTGAGCTAGACAGCTGGTGAGGTGTACAGACAGCTGGTGAGCTAGACACACAGCTGGTGAGCTAGACAGCTGGTGAGGTAGACAGCTGGTGAGCTAGACAGCTGGTGAGGTGTACAAACAGCTGGTGAGGTGTACAGACAGCTGGTGAAGTAGACAGCTGGTGAGGTAGACAGCTGGTGAGGTATACAGCTGGTGAGGTAGACAGCTGGTGAGCTAGACAGCTGGTGAGCTAGACAGCTGGTGAGGTGTACAGACAGCTGGTGAGGTGTACAGACAGCTGGTGAGGTAGACAGCTGGTGAGGTAGACAGCTGGTGAGCTAGACAGCTGGTGAGCTAGACAGCTGGTGAGCTAGACAGCTGGTGAGGTGTACAGACAGCTGGTGAGGTGTACAGACAGCTGGTGAGGTGTACAGACAGCTGGTGAGGTGTACAGACAGCTGGTGAGGTAGACAGCTGGTGAGGTAGACAGCTGGTGAGGTAGACAACTGGTGAGCTAGACAGCTGGTGAGCTAGACAGCTGGTGAGGTGTACAGACAGCTGGTGAGCTAGACAGCTGGTGAGGTAGGCAGCTGGTGAGCTAGACAGCTGGTGAGCTAGACAGCTGGTGAGGTGTACAGACAGCTGGTGAGGTAGACAGCTGGTGAGGTAGGCAGCTGGTGAGGTAGACAGCTGGTGAGCTAGACAGCTGGTGAGGTAGACAGCTGGTGAGGTGTACAGACAGCTGGTGAGGTAGACAGCTGGTGAGGTGTACAGACAGCTGGTGAGGTAGACAGCTGGTGAGGTAGACAGCTGGTGAGCTAGACAGCTGGTGAGCTAGACAGCTGGTGAGCTAGACACACAGCTGGTGAGGTGTACAGACAGCTGGTGAGGTAGACAGCTGGTGAGCTAGACAGCTGGTGAGCTAGACAGCTGGTGAGCTAGACAGCTGGTGAGGTAGACAGCTGGTGAGCTAGACAGCTGGTGAGCTAGACAGCTGGTGAGGTAGACAGCTGGTGAGGTGTACAGACAGCTGGTGAGCTAGACAGCTGGTGAGCTAGACAGCTGGTGAGGTAGACAGCTGGTGAGCTAGACAGCTGGTGAGCTAGACAGCTGGTGAGGTGTACAGACAGCTGGTGAGCTAGACAGCTGGTGAGGTAGACAGCTGGTGAGGTGTACAGACAGCTGGTGAGGTAGACAGCTGGTGAGGTAGACAGCTGGTGAGCTAGACAGCTGGTGAGGTAGGCAGCTGGTGAGTTGTACAGACAGCTGGTGAGCTAGACAGCTGGTGAGCTAGACAGCTGGTGAGGTAGACAGCTGGTGAGCTAGATAGCTGGTGAGGTAGACAGCTGGTGAGGTGTACAGCTGGTGAGGTAGACAGCTGGTGAGCTAGACAGCTGGTGAGGTGTACAGACAGCTGGTGAGGTGTACAGACAGCTGGTGAGCTAGACAGCTGGTGAGCTAGGTAGACAGCTGGTGAGGTAGACAGCTGGTGAGGTAGACAGCTGGTGAGCTAGACAGCTGGTGAGGTAGACAGCTGGTGAGCTAGACAGCTGGTGAGGTAGACAGCTGGTGAGCTAGGTAGACAGCTGGTGAGCTAGGTAGACAGCTGGTGAGCTAGGTAGACAGCTGGTGAGCTAGACAGCTGGTGAGCTAGACAGCTGGTGAGCTAGACAGCTGGTGAGCTAGACAGCTGGTGAGCTAGACAGCTGGTGAGGTTACCGGCTGTCCCAGGCGGTAGGCGGCGGCCTCTCTGAGAGTGGCCGCGTGGCCCAGCAGGCGGAGGGCCACGCGGGCTCGGCCCAGCTCCTCGCTGGCCCCCAGCAGCGCGGGGCCCAAGGCGGACCGCGAGAGCGGAGCAGCAACAGCAGCAGCAGGAGGATGGTGGTGAGGTGATGGTGGTGATGGTGGTGGTGATGCTGGTGGTGATGATGATGATGATAATGATGGTGGTGATGATGATCGTGATGATCGTGATGGTGGTGGTGGTGATGATGATCGTGATGATGATGATGATGGTGGTGGAGTGTCTGGCAGGACGAGGAGAAGGCCTCCAGCGAGGCGAGCCCCGTGGCACAGGGCCCGCAGGAGCGAGTCGCGGCCTCGGTGCGAGTCGAGGAGCGAGGCCCAGGACCCTCCGGGCGAGGCCCCGGTCCCTCCGGGCGAGGCCCAGGACACTCCGGGCGAGGCCCCGGACCCTCCGGGCGAGGCCCCGGACACTCCGGACGAGGCCCCGGACACTCCGGACGAGGCCCCGGACACTCCGGGCGAGGCCCCGGACCCTCCGGGCGAGGCCCCGGACCCTCCGGGCGAGGCCCCGGACCCTCCGGGCGAGGCCCCGGACACTCCGGGCGAGGCCCCGGACCCTCCGGGCGAGGCCCCGGACCCTCCGGGCGAGGCCCCGGACACTCCGGGCGAGGCCCCGGACCCTCCGGGCGAGGCCCCGGACCCTCCGGGCGAGGCCCCGGACCCTCCGGGCGAGGCCCCGGACCCTCCGGGGCAACCCGCGGGGTCGCCCCGGGCTGCGGCGACCTCCATCAGGCGGGGGGGGTGGAGGGCGAAGGTCGATTTAAATTGTTAACGATTCTCATGTTGAGTTTAAATAACAAATCGATTCGGACGTTTGGTGTAACGTTAGGGGAGGTGGTGGGAATCGGATGGGAATCGATGAGGGGCGATTCTGATGTTGGGTGTAACGTTGAAGGTGGCGGCGGGGAATAGATGGGGGAGACTGTCGCCATCTTGGATAAGGGGGGAGAGAGAAACTCGCCATCTTGGGTAGGGGGGAAGACTCGCCATCTTGGATAGGGGAGAGCTAGCCTGTCGCCATCTTGGGTATGGGGGAGAGCGAACCTGTCGCCATCTTTGGTGGGGGGAAGACAGTCGCCATCTTGGGTAGGGGAAGGTGTGGGGAGCGGTGGCGCAGTGGTTGGCGCTGCGGGCCCAGCTACGACCTGGGTTCAGTTGGGCCGTGAGCCAAACCGATCCTGGGTCTCCTCCTAGGTCCACTCAGCCTCAAATGAGTGCCTGGTGTGGTGGCGGTGTGAGGTCAACATCGCTAGCACTGGGGGATACAAAGGCGGGCGGGCGTGGTGCTGGCCACCCACCCCCTCGTTTGCCCCTACAGCCCTGCTAAAGGCTACCTGGGGGAGCTTTGTCTGTGTGTCTAACACTGCACTTGCCCCTACAGCCCTGCTAGAGGCTACCTGGGGGAGCTTTGTCTGTGTCTAACACTGCACTTGCCCCTACAGCCCTGCTAGAGGCTACCTGGGGGAGCTTTATCTGTGTCTAACACTGCACTTGCCCCTACAGCCCTGCTAGAGGCTACCTGGGGGAACTTTATCTGTGTGTGTCTAACACAGCACTTGCCCCTACAGCCTTGCTAGAGGCTACCTGGGGGAGCTTTGTCTGTGTGTCTAACACTGCACTTGCCCCTACAGCCCTGCTAGAGGCTACCTGGGGGAGCTTTGTCTGTGTGTGTCTAACACTGCACTTGCCCCTACAGCCCTGCTAGAGGTTACCTGGGGGAGCTTTGTCTGTGTGTGTCTAACACTGCACTTGCCCCTACAGCCCTGCTAGAGGCTACCTGGGGGAGCTTTGTCTGTGTGTGTCTAACACTGCACTTGCCCCTACAGCCCTGCTAGAGGTTACCTGGGGGAGCTTTGTCTGTGTGTGTCTAACACAGCACTTGCCCCTAGAGCCCTGCTAGAGGCTACCTGGGGGAGCTGTGAGCATGATTATCATGATGATGATGCTGCTGATCATGATGATGATGCTGCTGATCATGATGCTGCTGATCATGATGATGCTGCTGATCATGATGATGCTGATCATGATGCTCCTGATCATGATGATGCTGCTGTTGATCATGATGATGCTGCTGATCATGATGCTGCTGCTGATGCTGATCATGATGCTGCTGCTGATCATGATGATGCTGCTGCTGATCATGATGCTGATCATGATGATGCTGCTGATCATGATGATGCTGCTGATCATGATGCTGCTGCTGATGATGATGCTGCTGATCATGATGATGCTGATGCTGCTGATCATGATGATGCTGCTGATGCTGATCATGATGATGCTGCTGCTGATCATGATGCTGCTGATCATCATGATGCTGCTGCTGATCATGATGATGCTGCTGCTGATCATGATGATGCTGCTGCTGATCATGATGATGCTGCTGATGCTGATCATGATGATGCTGCTGATCATGATGATGCTGCTGCTGATCATGATGATGCTGCTGCTGATCATGATGATGCTGCTGATCATGATGATGCTGATGCTGCTGATCATGATGATGCTGCTGATGCTCATGATCATGATGATGCTGCTGCTCATGATGATGATGATGCTGCTGCTGATCATGATGCTGCTGCTGCTGCTGATCATGATGATGCTGCTGATCATGATGATGCTGATGCTGCTGATCATGATGATGCTGCTGATGCTGATCATGATGATGCTGCTGCTCATGATGATCATGATGATGCCGATCATAATGATCATCATGCTGATGATGATCATGCTGATGCTGATGATGCTGACACACAGAGGCGACGCAGTGGAGTCTGTGCCGAGTTCAGAGTTTATTATTTACGCTCAAAACCAAATTCAGCAGAGGAGACGCGGAGACATCATGGAGACAGCAACCATCTACACACGGGGAGGAGGGAGACACGGGGAGAGAGAGACACGGGGAGGGAGACACGGGGAGAGAGACACGGGGAGAGAGACAGGGAGAGAGACACGGGGAGAGAGACACGGGGAGAGAGACACGGGGAGAGAGACACGGGGAGAGAGACAGGGGGAGAGAGACAGGGGGAGAGACACGGGGAGAGAGACACGGGGAGGGAGACACGGGGAGAGAGACACGGGGAGAGAGACACGGGGAGAGAGACAGGGGGAGAGACACGGGGAGAGAGACACGGGGAGAGAGACACGGGGAGGGAGACACGGGGAGAGAGACACGGGGAGAGAGACAGGGGAGAGACACGGGGAGAGAGACACGGGGAGGGAGACACGGGGAGGGAGACACGGGGAGGGAGACACGGGGAGGGAGACACGGGGAGAGAGAGACACGGGGAGAGAGACACGGGGAGAGAGAGACACGGGGAGAGAGACACGGGGAGGGAGACACGGGGAGAGAGACACGGGGAGGGAGACACGGGGAGAGAGACACGGGGAGAGAGAGACACGGGGAGAGAGAGACACGGGGAGAGAGAGACACGGGGAGAGAGAGAGACACGGGGAGAGAGAGAGACACGGGGAGAGAGAGACACGGGGAGAGAGAGACACGGGGAGAGAGAGACACGGGGAGAGAGAGACACGGGGAGAGAGAGACACGGGGAGAGAGAGACACGGGGAGAGAGAGACACGGGGAGAGAGAGACACGGGGAGAGAGAGACACGGGGCGAGAGAGAGACACGGGGCGAGAGAGAGACACGGGGCGAGAGAGAGACACGGGGAGAGAGAGACACGGGGAGAGAGAGAGACAGGGGGAGGAGAGAGACAGGGGGAGGAGGGAGCGTGACAGTGAGTGAGTAAATCTTCACAAAGGTCACCACCACCGTCACGGGTGGAAGAATTCCGAGTGAGTGAGTGTACGAGTGAGTGTACGAGTGAGTGTGTGCGTGAGTGTATGAGTGAGTGAGTGTATGAGTGAGTGAGTGTATGAGTGAGTGAGTGTATGAGTGAGTGAGTGAGTGGCTGAGTGAGTGAATGAATGAATGAACGAGTGGCTGAGTGAGTGAATGAATAAGTGGCTGAGTGAGTGAGTGTATGAGTGAGTGTATTAGTGAGTGTGTGAGTGTATGAGTGAGTGTATGAGTGAGTGAGTGAATGAGTGAGTATGAGTGAGTGAGTGTATGGGTGAGTATGAGTGAGTGAGTGTATGGGTGAGTGTATGAGTGTATGAGTGAGTGTATGAGTGAATGAGTGAGTGTATGAGTGAGTGAGTGTGTGAGTGTATGAGTGAGTGTATGAGTGAGTGTATGAGTGAGTGTATGAGTGAGTGAGTGTATGAGTGAGTGAGTGTATGAGTGAGTGAGTGTATGAGTGAGTGTATGAGTGAGTGTATGAGTGAGTGAGGGTATGAGTGAGTTAGTGAGTGAGTGTATGAGTGAGTGAATGAGTGAGTGTATGAGTGAGTGTATGAGTGAGTGTATGAGTGAGTGTATGAGTGAGTGTATGAGTGAGTGTATGAGTGAGTGTATGCGTGTATGAGTGAGTGTATGAGTGAGTGAGTGTATGAGTGAGTGTATGAGTGAGTGTATGAGTGAGTGAGTGTGAGTGTACGAGTGAGTGTACGAGTGAGTGAGTGTATGAGTGTGTGAGTGAGTGTATGAGTGAGTGTATGAGTGAGTGTATGAGTGTACGAGTGAGTGTACGAGTGAGTGTACGAGTGAGTGAGTGAGTGTATGAGTGAGTGAGTGTATGAGTGAGTGTATGTATGAGTGAGTGAGTGTATGAGTGAGTGAGTGTACGAGTGAGTGTATGAGTGTGTGAGTGAGTGTACGAGTGAGTGTACGAGTGAGTGTACGAGTGAGTGTGTGAGTGTATGAGTGAGTGTACGAGTGAGTGGGTGTACGAGTGAGTGAGTGTACGAGTGAGTGTATGAGTGAGTAAGTGAGTGTACGAGTGAGTGGGTGTATGAGTGAGTGTGTGAGTGAGTGTATGAGTGAGTGTATGAGTGAGTGAGTGTACGAGTGAGTGTATGAGTGAGTGTATGAGTGAGTGAGTGTACGAGTGAGTGAGTGTATGAGTGAGTGTGTGAGTGAGTGTGTGAGTGAGTGTGTGAGTGAGTGTATGAGTGAGTGTATGAGTGAGTGAGTGAGTGTACGAGTGAGTGTGTGAGTGTGTGAGTGAGTGTGTGAGTGAATGTACAAGTGAGTGTATGAGTGTGTGAGTGAGTGTACGAGTGAGTGTGAGTATGTGAGTGAGTGTACGAGTGAGTGTGTGAGTGTACGAGTGAGTGGGTGTATGAGTGAGTGTATGAGTGAGTGTATGAGTGAGTGTATGAGTGAGTGTATGAGTGAGTGAGTGTATGAGTGAGTGTATGAGTGAGTGTATGAGTGAGTGAGTGTATGAGTGAGTGAGTGTACGAGTGAGTGTGTGAGTGAGTGTATGAGTGAGTGTGTGAGTGAGTGTGTGAGTGAGTGTATGTGCGAGTGTATGAGTGTGTGAGTGAGTGTGTGAGTGAGTGTACAAGTGAGTGAGTAATTGAGTGGTTTGTTCCACTCACGCTGTGCGCTACTTCTTCAGCAGCTGGTGCCGCACCACTACGAAGGGAAGGGCAAAGCCGCTGCCGAAGAAGCCGACCATGAGGGCCAGGAGACGCCAGCGATTCTCTACTGAGAAGGGCATGTTCTACACACACACAGTGAGACACACACACAGTGAGACACACACACAGTGAGACACACACACAGTGAGACACACACACACACAGTGACACACACACACACACAGTGAGACACACACACACACACAGTGAGACACACACACACACACAGTGAGACACACACACACAGTGAGACACACACACACACACAGTGAGTGAACACACACACACAGTGAGACACACACACACAGTGAGACACACACACACAGTGAGACACACACACACAGTGAGACACACACACACAGTGAGACACACACACACAGTGAGACACACACACACAGTGAGACACACACACACACAGTGAGACACACACACACACAGTGAGACACACACACACACAGTGAGACACACACACACACAGTGAGACACACACACACAGTGAGACACACACACACAGTGAGACACACACACACACAGTGAGACACACACACACACAGTGAGACACACACACACACAGTGAGACACACACACACACAGTGAGACACACACACACACAGTGAGACACACACACACACAGTGAGACACACACACACACAGTGAGACACACAGTGAGACACACAGTGAGACACACACACACAGTGAGACACACACACACAGTGAGACACACACACACAGTGAGACACACACACACAGTGAGACACACACACACAGTGAGACACACACACAGTGAGACACACACACAGTGAGACACACACACACAGTGAGACACACACACACAGTGAGACACACACACAGTGAAACACACACACAGTGAGACACACACACAGTGAGACACACACAGTGAAACACACACACAGTGAGACACACACACACAGTGAGACACACACACACAGTGAGACACACACACACAGTGAGACACACACACACACACAGTGAGACACACACACACACACAGTGAGACACACACACAGTGAGACACACACACACACACAGTGAGACACACACACACACAGTGAGACACACACACACAGTGAGACACACAGTGAGACACACACACACACAGTGAGACACACAGTGAGACACACAGTGAGATACACACACAGACACACAGTGAGATACACACACAGACACAAAGTGAGATACACAAAGTGAGATACACACACACAAAGTGAGATACACACACACAGTGAGACACACACACACACACAGTGAGACACACACACACACAGTGAGACACACACACACACACAGTGAGACACACACACACACAGTGAGACACACACACAGTGAGACACACACACAGTGAGACACACACACAGTGAGACACACACACAGTGAGACACACACACACAGTGAGACACACACACACAGTGAGACACACACACACAGTGAGACACACACACACAGTGAGACACACACACACAGTGAGACACACACACACAGTGAGACACACACACACAGTGAGACACACACACACAGTGAGACACACACACACAGTGAGACACACACACACAGTGAGACACACACACACAGTGAGACACACACACACAGTGAGACACACACACACAGTGAGACACACACACACAGTGAGACACACACACACAGTGAGACACACACACACAGTGAGACACACACACACAGTGAGACACACACACACAGTGAGACACACACACACAGTGAGACACACACACACAGTGAGACACACACACACAGTGAGACACACACACACAGTGAGACACACACACAGTGAGACACACACACAGTGAGACAGACACACAGTGAGACAGACACACAGTGAGACAGACACACAGTGAGACAGACACACAGTGAGACAGACACACAGTGAGACAGACACACAGTGAGACAGACACACAGTGAGACACACACACACAGTGAGACACACACACACAGTGAGACACACACACACAGTGAGACACACACAGTGAAACACACACACAGTGAGACACACACACACAGTGAGACACACACAGTGAAACACACACACAGTGAGACACACACACACAGTGAGACACACACACACAGTGAGACACACACACACAGTGAGACACACACACACACACAGTGAGACACACACACACACAGTGAGACACACACACACACAGTGAGACACACACACACACAGTGAGACACACACACACACAGTGAGACACACACACACACAGTGAGACACACACACACAGTGAGACACACAGTGAGACACACACACACACAGTGAGACACACAGTGAGACACACAGTGAGATACACACACAGACACACAGTGAGATACACACACAGACACACAGTGAGATACACACACAGACACAAAGTGAGATACACAAAGTGAGATACACACACACACAGTGAGACACACACACACAGTGAGACACACACACACACAGTGAGACACACACACACACAGTGAGACACACACACACACAGTGAGACACACACACACACACAGTGAGACACACACACACAGTGAGACACACAGTGAGACACACACACACACACAGTGAGACACACAGTGAGACACACAGTGAGATACACACACAGACACACAGTGAGATACACACACAGACACACAGTGAGATACACACACAGACACAAAGTGAGATACACAAAGTGAGATACACACACACACAGTGAGACACACACACACACACAGTGAGACACACACACACACACAGTGAGACACACACACACACAGTGAGACACACACACACACAGTGAGACACACACACACAGTGAGACACACACACAGTGAGACACACACACAGTGAGACACACACACAGTGAGACACACACACACAGTGAGACACACACACACAGTGAGACACACACACACAGTGAGACACACACAGTGAGACACACACACACAGTGAGACACACACACACAGTGAGACACACACACACAGTGAGACACACACACACAGTGAGACACACACACACACAGTGAGACACACACACACACAGTGAGACACACACACACAGTGAGACACACACACACAGTGAGACACACACACACAGTGAGACACACACACACAGTGAGACACACACACAGTGAGACACACACACAGTGAGACACACACACACAGTGAGACACACACACACACAGTGAGACACACACACAGTGAGACACACACACACAGTGAGACACACACACACAGTGAGACACACACACACAGTGAGACACACACACACAGTGAGACACACACACAGTGAGACACACACACAGTGAGACAGACACACAGTGAGACAGACACACAGTGAGACAGACACACAGTGAGACAGACACACAGTGAGACAGACACACAGTGAGACAGACACACAGTGAGACAGACACACAGTGAGACACACAGTGAGCCACAGTGAGACACACAGTGAGACACACAGTGAGACACACAGACACAGTGACACACAGACACAGTGACACACAGACACAGTGACACACAGACACAGTGACACACAGACACAGTGACACACAGACACAGTGACACACAGACACAGTGACACACAGACACAGTGAGACACAGACACACAGAGAGAAAGACACAGACACACAGACACTCACAGAGAGACACACAGTGAGACACAGACAAGACACAGAGAGACAGACACAGAGAAAGAGACACAGAGACAGACTAGACACAGAGACACAGACACACAGAGAAAGAGACACACAGAGAGACACACAGTGCGACACAGACAAGACACAGAGAGACAAAGACACACACAGAGACACACAGTGAGACACAGACACAGAGAAAGAGACACACAAAGAGACACACAGAGAGACACACAGAGAGACACTCACAGAGAGACAGAGACAAGACACAGAGACAAGACACAGACAGAGAGACAGACACACACGGTGACAGACAGAGACAACCATGCAGGAGACGCTAGCACGTTGGCAGGTAGCCGTCGAGACGGAGAGGCCGGCCGTCTTTGCCTCCCACGAGCAGCGCATCGCGCCTGGCCGGATCTCCAGGCAAACCGGAAAAAGCCTCAACCACGAGGCCCGAGCGCTCACCCCAACAGTTTGGTGGGGGGGGGGTGGTGGGGCGGAGTACGAGGAAGCGACTCAGGAAAAGCGGATAAAGCCTGCGGCCTAGGTCGACGGGGGGGTGGGTGGGTGGGTGACCTTGGGTGGCTTCACCGGTTCCACGCGGGCAGGGGAAGAGTTTTTTTGTTTGTTTGATTCTTCCGCCACTCCTCGTTACCTGGCCGGGACCCTCGCCGTAGTGGCTGCGGCGCAGCGACGAGGTGGCGAAGCGGCGAGCGAGGACGACGAAGGCTGAGGAGGCCGGAGGCGCCATGGCGGAGCGATGCGGAGACGAAGGCGACTGCGGCGGCGAAGGACGCAGGAAGTGACGTCACGCGACGCGGCTCATTAATATTCATGAGGTGACGACGTTGACCAATGGGGGGGGGGTGGGTGGGAACTCTTGTTATTTAATTTTTTTCTCCCGTTTTTATTATTTTCAAATTCTTATTTTTATTTAGTATTTGTTAATGTTCACGTAATTAAAAAAATTTTCGTTATTTTTATTTCCCATCTACGTGACTACCGAAAGGACCAAAGAGCAATATTCATGAGTTGGCGACGTTGGCCAATGGGGTGGGAACTCTGCCTACTTAATATTCATGAGGGTTTGAGGGCCCTCCTCACCCTCCCGTAATTAATATTCATGAGGTGGCGACGTTGACCAATGGGGTGGGAACCCTGCCCGCTTAATGTTCATGCGGGTGGAGCTTTTCCCACCCCGCCCCCCGGCGCACCTAATTAATATTCATGAGGTGGGGAGCCGGGGTCTACTTAATATGCATGAGGTATGACGTCTGACGCCTCGACTTTTGATAAGCTGCTCAATATGCATGAGCGGTACTGACGTCAGGCGGAGGCTCCTGCTTAATATTCATGAGGCTTGACAGGTCCGACCATGGCGGCGAGACGGAAGTGACGTCCCCACAGGCTGCTTAATATTCATGTTACGACTAGAAACCCCCCTCCCCCCCCATGTTGCGTGAGGGTTACGCTGTGGCGGCCATGTTGGGTAGGAAGACATTGCGGCGGCCATGTTAGGTGGGGGCCCATCACGGCAGCCATGTTAAGCGGGGCGACATCGCGGCGGCCATCTTGGGTGGGGGAGGGGTACATGCTTCCTAGCAACCGATTGGCCGGGACGGGAGGCAGAAGTGGGGAAATTTCTCATCTGACGATACTGGCAGTAGAACCCAGAGCAACCTGGGTCTGTCACGTGACCTCCGCATGCACCTAGCCTGGCACAGCAGCACAACCCATGGCACCTGCAGGGTCTGTCCCGTGACCTCCTCCTCATGCACCTAGCCTGGCACAGCAGCACAACCCATGGTACCTGCTGGGTCTGTCACGTGACCTCCCCCTGCCAGAACCACTTTTATGCTTTAAGAGGTCTCCAGGTGCACCTAGCCTGGCACAAGCGCTGTGTTATTTGGGTGAAGCGATGTGGTGAAACACGTGATGATCTGGGTTCAGAATAGTCACACACACCACGTGTAACATTCACTGTTACAGACTTTATTGTTACAAGAAATCACTCACCCATCACTCACCCACTCACCCCATCACTCACCCACCACTCACCCACCCATCCCATCACTCACCCACCACTCACCCACCCATCCCATCACTCACCCAACACTCACCCATCACTCACTCACTCACCCAACACTCACCCATTCACTCACCCATCACTCACCCACCCATCCCATCACTCACCCATCACTCACCCACCCATCCCATCACTCACCCATCACTCACCCACCCATCCCATCACTCACCCACCACTCACCCACCCATCCCATCACTCACCCATTACTCACCCATCACTCACTCACTCACTCACCCACCCATTCACTCACCTCACCCCATCACTCACCCAACACTCACCCACCCATCCCATCACTCACCCACACTCACCTCACCCCATCACTCACCCATCACTCACCCACCCATCCCATCACTCACCCACCCATCCCATCACTCACCCATCACTCACTCACCCCATCACTCACCCACCCATCCCATCACTCACCCACACTCACCTCACCCCATCACTCACCCATCACTCACCCACCCATCCCATCACTCACCCACCCATCCCATCACTCACCCATCCCATCACTCACCTCACCCCATCACTCACCCATCACTCACTCACCCACCCACCCATTCACTCACCCACCCATCCCATCACTCACCCATCACTCACCTCACCCCATCACTCACCCATCCCATCACTCACCTCACCCCATCACTCACCCATCACTCACTCACCCACCCACCCATTCACTCACCCACCCATCCCATCACTCACCCATCACTCACCCACCAATCCCATCCCATCACTCACCCACCCATCCCATCACTCACCCATCACTCACCTCACCCCATCACTCACCCATCCCATCACTCACCTCACCCCATCACTCACCCATCACTCACTCACCCACCCACCCATTCACTCACCCACCCACCCATTCACTCACCCACCCACCCATTCACTCACCCATCCCATCACTCACCTCACCCCATCACTCACCCATCACTCACTCACTCACTCACCCACCCATTCACTCACCCATCACTCACCCACCCATTCACTCACCCACCCATCCCATCACTCACCAATTCACTCACCCACCCATCCCATCACTCACCCACCCATTCACTCACCCACCCATCCCATCACTCACCTCACCCCATCACCCACCCATTCACTCACCCACCCATCCACTCACCCATCACTCACTCACCCACCCATTCACTCACCCATCACTCACTCACCCACCCATTCACTCACCCACCCATCCACTCACCCACCCATCCCATCACTCACCCATCCATTCACTCACCCACACTCACCTCACCCACCCATCCCATCACTCACCCACCCATTCACTCACCCACCCATCCCATCACTCACCCACCCGCTCACCCACCCACCCATTCACTCACCCACCCATTCACTCATCCACCCATCCCATCACTCACTCGCCCACCCGCTCACCCCATCACTCAATCACCCGCTCACCCGCTCACTCGCTCACCCACCCACCCGCTCACCCACTCGCTCACCCACCCACTCACTCACCCCATCACTCAATCACCCGCTCACCCACCCACCCGCTCACCCATCACTCACTCACCCACCCACCCGCTCACCCAACCACTCACCCCATCACTCAATCACCCGCTCACTCGCCTAACCCACCCAACGCCCACTTACCCACCATCACCCACCCACCATCACCCACCCACACCAACTCCATCAGGGCACCATCCAAAACGGCGTGTTGGTCTTCAACGTGCCTTTCCTTCCTCCACCTGCTGATGACGCTGCTGCTGCTGATGACGCTGCTGCTGCTGCTGCTGCTCCTGCTGATGCTGCTGCTCCTGCTGATGCTGCTGCTGCTGCTGATATCTCAGCCAACGCAGCACGCGACCCACTCCCCCGCCTCTCCCCGCGCCCACCGGCCACCGGCACCGGCGAGGATGGAGCCCCGGTCCTGGACAGAGCCCGTGCCACCGCCAGGCTGTGCCGATGCAGCGAGCGAGGCGAAGCGGGGAGCTGGGACGTGCCGGCGAGCTGGGACGTGCCGGCGAGCTGGGACGTGCCGGCGAGCTCGGACGTGCCGGCGAGCTGGGACGTGCCGGCGAGCTGGGACGTGCCGGCGAGCTGGGACGTGCCGGCGAGCTGGGACGTGGCGGCGAGCTGGGACGTGGCGGGGAGCTGGGACGTGCCGGGGAGCTGGGACGTGCCGGGGAGCTGGGACGTGGCGGGGAGCTGGGACGTGGCGGCGAGCTGGGACGTGGCGGGGAGCTGGGACGTGGCGGCGAGCTGGGACGTGGCGGGGAGCTGGGACGTGGCGGGGAGCTGGGACGTGGCGGCGAGCTGGGACGTGGCGGGGAGCTGGGACGTGGCGGGGAGCTGGGACGGAGCGGCGTCAGGGCCATCTGCCTCCGCGTCCGAGTCTGAGTCGGAGAGCTCCGCGTACTGGACGAGAGCGTGGAGGGGGTGCGGGTGGTGGTGGTGGTGGTGGTGGGGAGTGGGCGTCGAGGTGGGGGGGACCGCTCCGTCCACCCTCACCACGACACCCGACTTAGCCACCTCACCCACCGCCCCACCCACCGCTCCACCCACCGCTCCACCCACCGCTCCACCCACCGCTCCACCCACCACCCCACCCACCACCCTCCGCTTTGCTGGGGGTGGTGTGCCCAGCGAAATTGCGGGTGGGGGCATCATCATGGCTGCGATGGTGGTGATGATGGTGGTGATGATGGTGATGGTGGTGGTGATGGTGGTGGTGACGGTGGTGGTGGTGATGGTGGTGGTGACAGTGGTGGTGGTGATGGTGGTGATGGTGGTCGTGATGGTGGTGGTGATGGTGGTGACGGTGGTGGTGGTGATGGTGGTGGAGGTGATGGTGGTGATGGAGGTAGTGAAATTGGTGGTGGTGGTGATAGTGTTAGAGGTGATGGTGGTGATGGTGTTGGAAGTGGTGATGGTGGTGATGATGATGGTGATGATATTGAAGGATTCGTTATCGTCAAAGCAGAGAGAGAGAGACAAAAATACAGAGACACAGAGACAGACACACACAGACAGACACACAGAGAGACACACACAGACACAGACACACAGACACAGACACACAGACACACACAGACACACACACAAAGACAGACACACACAAAGACACAGACACACACGCAAAGACACACACACACACAAAGACACAGACACACACGCAAAGACACAGACACACAGACAGACACACACAAAGACACACAGACACACACAAAGACACAGACTCACACACACAACCACAGACACACTGGTTAGACACAGGAATCAGGCACATGGAGACACAAAGAGTGAGTGAGTGAGTGTGTGAGTGAGTGTGTGAGTGTAAGAGTGAGTGAGTGTATGAGTGAGTGTATGAGTGAGTGAGTGTATGAGTGAGTGAGTGAGTGTATGAGTGAGTGAGTGTATGAGTGAGTGTATGAGTGAGTGTATGAGTGTATGAGTGAGTGAGTGTATGAGTGAGTGTATGAGTGAGTGAGTGTGTGAGTGTATGAGTGTATGAGTGAGTGAGTGTATGAGTGAGTGAGTGTATGAGTGAGTGTATGAGTGAGTGAGTGTGTGAGTGAGTGTGTGAGTGTAAGAGTGAGTGAGTGTATGAGTGAGTGTATGAGTGAGTGAGTGTATGAGTGAGTGAGTGAGTGTATGAGTGAGTGAGTGTATGAGTGAGTGTATGAGTGAGTGTATGAGTGAGTGAGTGTATGAGTGAGTGTATGAGTGAGTGAGTGTGTGAGTGTATGAGTGTATGAGT